CACATAGCGTGACATAAATTACATTCGTATTATACCGTATCATATTGCATTTTACATCATATTAATATAATTAATTGATATAATATTAATATAATAATTAATTGATATTATATTATATTATATTATATTATATTATATTATATTATATTATATTATATTACATTACATTACATTATATTACATTATATTATATTATATTACATTACATTACATTACATTACATTACACATGATATTATATCATATTATATATTTTACATTATATGATACTATGGTATGTTATGTTATATATCATGTACTATCACATTATATTACATCATGTTATATCACATTATATTTCATTATATTACAGTACAGTACATTACATTACAATATCTTACATTATATTACATTGTATTATACTTACATAATATTTTACATTATATTACTTATATTTATATCATGTATCTTGTCATATATTTTACATTATATTATGTTATATTATATGATATATGACATTATATTACATTACATTATATCACGTTATATCACATTTTATTATATTCATTATATTACATTACATTGATATCTTACAATATCTTACATTATATTATATTTATATTATATAATATTTTTTACATTATACTATATTACATTCATATCATATCATATTTTACATTATATTAAATTATATTCATAATATATAATAGAATTACACTAGAACATAACATAATATAATTACACTAGAACATAACATAGCACGACATAAACATAACATAACATAACAGTAATATAATTACACTAGAACATAACATAGCACAACATAAACATAACATAACATAACATAACAGTAATATAACCATAACATAAACATAATATAATTAGAATAAAATTACACTATAACATAACATAGCATAACATACCATAAACATAATATAATTAATGTAATTACACTATAACATAACATAGCATAACATAAACATAACATAACAATACGATAACCATAACATAAATATAATATAATTAGAATATAATAGTATTACACTATAACACAACATAGCATAATACATGCTATGTTATGTACTACAACATAAGTACATAACATAGTATAAGATAAACATAATATAATTTGTGTCATTTAATAGAATTGCGCTATAATGTAATATAATTAATATAATATAATATTTAATATAACATAACAGTGGTGGGCTGTACTGTAGGACACTCCAGTAAAGCAGCAGCTCAGCCCCTGGGCTCTGAGGCCGTGCCAGTTCCCCTGTTTGTGCCCTGCTGGTTCCATGGCTGTGCCCTGAGATTGTGCCAGTTCCTTGGCTGCATTTTCCCTGGCCGTGCCCTGCTGCTTCCCTGGCTGTGCCCTGCCGGTTCCATGGCTGTGCCCTGATGCCGTGCCAGTTCCTGAGGCTGTGCCAGTTCCTTGGCTGCATTTTCCCTGGCCGTGCCCTGCTGCTTCCCTGGCTGTGCCCTGAAGCTGTGCCAGTTCCCCTGTTTGTGCCCTGCCGGTTCCCCTGTTTGTGCCCTGCTGGTTCCATGGCCGTGCCCTGAAGCCGTGCCAGTTCCTTGGCTGCATTTTCCCTGACTGTGCCCTGCATTTTCCCCTGGCCGTGCCCTGCCAGTTCTCCCAGCTGTGCCCTGCCGGTTCCCCTGTTTGTGCCCTGCTGTTTCCCTGGCCGTGCCCTGCCGGTTCCATGGCTGTGCCCTGATGCCGTGCCAGTTCCTGAGGCTGTGCCAGTTCCTTGGCTGCATTTTCCCTGGCTGTGCCCTGCTG